AAACAACTTATTGCATCACAATTGCTTCTAGAAATAAATCTTACATATTTTACATTTTATTCATATATTTTCGTAATTGAATAATTAAATTGATGTTTTTATATTGTAGAAAAATTGCGGAAATGTTTGGTTGGCTACATTTTTATAATCACCCCACCCCGCATTCGTTATAAAATATTGAATTATATTGTGTGCTGCATATAAAATAAAATGAATTTGCTTTGACTTGAATGCATTCGCTTATCTAGTATCTAGTATCTAGTAGATAATATCTACTATCTAAAATAGTCTAAAATTGAATGCAATGGAACGATGCGGTTAGCATTGGTTTTCATACAAAATAAATATGTATGTAACACAATTTCTATTAATTAGAAAAATATGTTACAGCTTCGAATGTACACATTTAAGAATTATTAAAATGATTTGAAAACCGCATGACGTACCTAATCACCAATAAAGAAAGCAGATGGTTTTGTTTTCTTTGTTTTTGATTTTGATTTTAAATTTCAATTTAAATTTAAATTTAAACTGTAAACAAAAACAAACAAAGAAAAATTTGAAAATACTTTTGATTGTGTTACTGCCACATTAAAATATTTTAAATCTGAGTTTATGAGGTTATTTTCGAATACGAATTTGACGTCAAGAGTGAAAGAGGCGTACAATAAATGTCAAAATGCATTTCATCAAATTGAAAATTGAGATAAAAAGCAAGAAAGCAAACAAACATTTTTTAAACAATTCTTATTAAAATATTGTTGAAAGGCATATAACGACGAGTATTAATATTATTTATTTATTTGTTAAAAATTATTACAAACTTACAAATAAATAATTGCCCCAAAATCAAAAAAAATATAATATTTGTAGATAAAAATCCTTAACTGCATATACCTAATGCAGTAATTAAATTAAATATTAAAAATGTATTGACGGCAAAATCCAAATGTCAAAGCTTATCTTGCGTGAAAATTTTATTTTAGCACACTTTTTTTTTTTGCAGTTAGTGGAAAGCATGGAAAGCCACAGTGTGAGACTTGAACCCACAAACACCAGCTCTTACGAATGAATGGAGAAGATTTCCACAGCATTGAGGACACTTTATTCCAGTATTGAGGGGAGAGAGATGTGAACAGATAAGCCTAATATCTGCTTTAGTTTAGATAAACTTTAAGACGAGTCTGCGACAAACTTTACACAGACTACTTATACATCCGTTACGCTACCATAAGGCTCTCCTTTTAAGTTGTGCCTGTTTCTAATAATTTGTTTTCCTAGAACATTTCTACGGTACGGATGTTCTACATTCAAAAGCAATCTGCACTTTAACCAATTAATTTTTTTTTGAGAAATTTGTAAGATATTCAATATCAGTTTCTGTTAGTTCTACGGAGTACTCGAAAAGGGTATTCTAAGAATAGCTTTATTCATTGCTAAGGTTTCTGTAATTTTTTTTTGCTTTAATTTTTTTATATAATTTTTTGTATTATTAAATTGATAATAATAAATATGTAACACATTTTTGTTGCAATATTAATTAAACAATACACAAGACAGCATCGTGTTGTTGTAAATTGCGTTGGCGGCCTTTTAAGTGTTATGCCTGGGCATATAACATTAACTGTTACATCTTCTATGCTTTGTGTTATAAAAATGGACATATAGTGAGCTTTTTGAATTAAGCCTAATAGTTCAGTTTGTAAGTCAATTTCCTGTTGTATTTAACCGATTTTGAACATTTTATGATGTCCCAATATCAGTTATTGTAGATATCAAAAATACTGTATTCTCAGCTTGGGTAGCTATAGTTACGGACATATCAAAAATAAGCTTTGTATAAAGAATAAGTTCTAGTACACTCTGCAAACAGCTTGGACTGACCTTTGCTATCCTGATTCACTCGTTGAAGTGTTGTTTATGAAATATTATATAGTAATAAGCAGGAAGGAACTTTTTGAATTTATATTGTATGCTGTTTGTTTTTTCTTTCGAAGATTACTACAATAAAATCTAAGGCGATCAACTCCATTTTCAAATAACAAATGCAGTATAAAGTAAATAAAATATTTAAATATTTAAATTTCAAAATTTGAAAAGCATACTTTGGCAAATAGAACAGTTGTCTCTAGCAGACTTGTTTGTAAACCATTATTATAATTATATTCAAATTTGAACTAATTTTTGGGTATAAATTAATACACTATAAATATACAAATTAAATGAATTTTTTTTATTACAATATTTAACTGAATCGCCAATCTGTATAAAATCGATATGTAATAGACTCATTATTTGCATTTACATGAGAACTTATGATATTAAAATAACCATTAGTGCAAACAATTATATACTTATGGCATATGATTTTTTTTTAATATTTGATTTATGAATTTATTGGTCTAACATATATAAATGAATATTAGTAGCAAAAAAAGTGGAAAACAGTGTACAAATAGAATTGCTATCAAAAATGGTTGTATTTTCACATAAAAATAAAAAATACGAGATTATAAATGGCATATTATATACAAAGTATGTATGTTTTAATAAATTATAATACAACTTTTTTCACATTTTCAAACGATTTATCTGAACGCACTTTGTAAATTTTCTTTGTTCGAACGAAAGCCTGTAAACTTTCGTTATCAGTTTTTTAAAATGTTTATTTACTGTATTAACATATAAAAATTATTAATAGTTTAAAACTCATACATTTCATATAATTGTTGAAAGAATATATTGAGTTCGTCAATATATTTGTAAAGCAATGAAGACGACATCAGATACCATATAAACTATGTATGTATATAAAAGCAATTCTTATTCAGCACGATTGTATAAATATATTGAGCCCTAACTGACTTATTAAAGGTATATAGTTGTTATATGAACTCGAACATTAACTATCAGTGACACTGAGTCCATTGTAACACTATTGTCTTCCTATTGCCTTTTCTAGCACTCAAAAATTATTTCCACATCAGCTGTATCCAGGAAAGTATTAATGTAGTCTAAGTCGCTACTTAGCAACTCTGACTTGGGGATAAATTCTTCAATGATATGTAGGGGAATTTTTGTGGCTTCTGAGATAACATAGGTTATCTTGGTCGGTTTCTGAGGATTTTAACCGTACTTTATTGTTGTTTAAAGGGCAGTGCCAAGTTATCTGTCAAATCAGTGTTTTAAAATATGGTCTATTTAAATTAAGATTGCTTTTCTTGTCAGAGTATTCGGAAAAACAGCTTTGTGTGGCGGATGGTTTTCTCCGTTAGACCATCTGTGGTTGGGTTTACTAGTTCAGTTTTGCTACGCTTTTGAAGTGATTGTTTTTGACATGCAGAACTCGTCCAGGTATATTTGGTTACCTT